ACTTTTGTAAATCCTTTATGTCACGCCACTGAATCTATCGGCAATGTGGCAAGCGATAATAATTTTAATACCAGCGCAGTAACGAGTTCTCTCTCTTTCCATGCGCTAACGGTCTTGAGCGACTTATACCTGCATTTTTGACTGCCTTGTATTAGTCTGCTAGTAGTTATCGTGGAGCAAACAATGTGGTCAAATAAAGCTGGGCAAATGGCATCTGAATATGAAAGGCAATTTGATGAGAGTGTGCACAAACAGACAAATTTTAGTGGTGATGAAGATTTTGATTTGTGTGACAGTGACGATTCAGTACCGGAGTATTATTATCAAACTTCATCCATTTCTGACATAGATAATTCTGATAGTGAAGGTAAGGGTTGATTGGAATCTTGTTCAATTGCCGTTTTTTTGTTATACTTTTTTTTTTACAGACTCTGACTTCAATGAGCCTACATGGCATGATATTGAAGATAAAGATGGTGAAGACGAACAGAAATTTGATATGTGCAGTGAATCATCAGTATTTAATGTTGATACAGCACAGATAAAAACACCATTAGATGCGTTTAAGCTGTTTGTACGTGATGAACTTTTAAACTACATTATTGAAACGACGAATAAGTTTGCACAGGAGTCAACTTTTGGTGCTAAAAGCCAATGGACAGACATCGACTTGAAGGAATTGTCGCAATTTATGTCAGTAGTGTTAGTTATGGGTCTAAACCAGTTACCATCGATAAATTTTTATTGGTCAAAGGATCCTATGTTTAAAAATGAATTTATTACAACTACTATGCGTAGGGATAGATTTTTAATAATACTCCGATATGTATATTTCTGTAACAATGAAGAACCAGTTTTAGACACTACTGATAAACTTTATTATAAAATAGGAAAACCATTAGAAATGCTTAACGAACAATTTAAATTAATTTTAACTCCTGGAAGAATATTGGTGATTGATGACTCGATAATTCCTTTCAAAGGAAGATTTACTATGCGCCAATACATACCAAATATATATGGCATAAAAATGTATAAACTATGCACAGAGGATGGATATACTAATAATATTGCTGTTTATACTGGCAAAAATATGCAAGTACTTGAGCAAAATCATTCTACAACAATAGTTTATGAACTACTGGAATCAATTGAAAATAAAGAAGGACATTATCTAATTGCAGATAATTTTTATTCAGATCTGTCGTTAGCTAAAGAACTTTTTGATCAAAAAATTCTTTATTGTGGTACGTTGCGTCCCAACCACAAAAGAATTCCTTTAGATTTTGAAAGAAAAATGAAAAAAGGGGAAATATTTGGTAAACAAAACGACTGCGTTAAAATAATCAAATGGATGGACAAAAGACCAGTTCTTATGTTGACAACTGACCCCACACATAAAGGCACCCTCGAAGATACTGAAAAAGGCGATATTATTGCTAAGCCACAGTGCGTTATCCAATATAATGAAGCAAAAAATGGAATAGATTACAGTAACCAATCTTATAACTCAGTATTGCATAAAGCACTGAAGTGGTATCAAAAGCTAATGTTCGAACTTTTGTTTGGTACATGTGTTGTTAATTCTTGGATCATATTCAATAAACTGTTAGCTAAAAAAATGTCTATTACTCAATTTAGGAAGACACTAGCTGTACAACTTGCAGATACTTCAAAAACTGACAATGAAAGTTTTACTCAAAAAAGAACTCTTCATACTGTTATCAAACCTTCAGGTACAGGAAGAAATAAGAGAAAAGCCTCCAAAGGACTTACGCCGTACTTTAAAAAGCCGTAAAGGTTTGCAAAGTGACCAGTTTTTGTGACGATTGTCCGGGAAAACCCGGTATGTGCCTGTCTTAGTTTTCTGAATATATTTATCGTTTAAATGTCTTAGATTTTATGTTGCATAACCGCAGCACTTTTATTTGAAGAGCATTTTGTATTTTTTATTTAATAAAGTGGTATAAATCAAAACTTTCCTATTTTTATTTATAAATATCGCCGTGTCTATAGTTTATTTGAAAATATATGATAGAACGGTTTTTATGGCAAAGGATTGTTCAAAGCAGAAAAAAGTAAATATTGATACCTTCTTATCTGAATTTTAACTAGATTTTAGTATGGCCAAGGTGTTAAGAAAAGCATTCTTGTGTAAAAAAACCGTATGTGAAGACCAATCATTAAATCTTTAGATAAAAAGTAATTTTTAAGAAATTGTTTATATGTTTTTCATAAATTGACAGGCTTGGTGACTACTATTTCGAATAAAAATAGCCTCCAAGATGGCTATGGTTACAACTATAAAGGTCGCAACCCCCTTAGAAATCTCACCTTTACAAATAACAGCTGTTGTTTGACAGGTCGTTGGAGTGCCTAATATTGGAATGTTTGCAATGTATGGAATGCGTAAAATAGTCAAAACGGATTTAGGGGACTCCCAAAAATCTTTCGAAAATTAGAGACCGAAATAAAATCATAATTCCTATATTTTCCTTATCTGTATGTATATAGACGTAAAGTAAAAAGAAGCAAGGCAGCTGGACAACTCAAAAATTTTTATTGAGTCTGTGAAATAATGGTATTGAAGTATTAATACTTCTTCTTAACAAACTGCAGTAGAATGCCGCTTACAATATTTAACAAAAAATATTCTTCGAGTCAGTGACCGTAAAATTGGTCCTTGAAGAGAAAAATCTGATCCATACATCACAAAAATCATTCGGATCAACACATTGTTCCCAAAATATTTAATTTTATGATTTTTAAAAAGTAACAATCCAATATAACACACCTTATTTAATGCATTTGCGAAAAATATGTTGTTAAAACTAAATATACTGAGCTAAATGGTTACTTTGTGGACAAATTACTGTAAAACATGTTTTCCACAGGGCTTTTTAACGAATTATCGCTGATAAAATCAATTTAATCTCCCGCAACATGAGAAAATCACGCAGAATGAAATTATTATTAAATGCACAAGTGAAATATGTTTAAACACATCGATCGACCTACTAACCTGGATATTTTAACGCAAAATAGTGGTGGGATATTGTGATAATTGTTGCGTAATGAAATATTCAGTTATTCCGAGACTATGCCGTATTGTTTTGATTTTTTTACTGTGTTCTTTGGAAACCGCTACACTCATAACGTTGTTGAAAATGTATTTCGGTTTTATATTTATTTGTTTGACAACGAATATGCTTGAAACGCATTATACATTACTTTATGGGTTGTTACAATGCTGGAAATCTAATAAGGATATGCTATCAAAGTTTGATTGATCATTTCAACAACAGAAATTATTCGAAAATATTTTTATGGTTGCACAAATCACTGAGAGAAATTATAAAAGTTATCTTTCAATAAATGCAGGAATGACAAACATTTGTTCGTGATTTTTCAACTTTTAAGTACTAAGTAAGGTGGTTAGAAGAAATTTGGTTGCTCTAAGAAAATTTCCAATTTCATAGAAGCTACAATTTAGTATCTAATATTATGTCTTTAAGAGACACCATTAAAGGTGTGAAGTTTTCTTTGTAGGTGGGATAGGGAAAAGGAATATGAAATTAGCGCCGATTAAAAGACAATAAGTAAGATGTTTTGGACATCTTTGTCCTTTAAACATGAATTAGGTTGATTAACTAAACAGCAGAGAAGATGGGAATAATGTGCGAGGGAATTAAAGAACCATAGGTAAGTAAAAAGCAAAACTAGATATATTTTTTTAAAAACATTACTTAATGACTTACAATTATTCTGACATCATGTCAATGTTTGCCCATGACAAAACAGCGCAGGAAAAAACAAGCAGAACAAAATGGCGCAAGACAAAATAGCGCAGACAAAGCAGTACAGGACAAAATAGCGCAGAACAAAATAGCGCAAGGGCGAAATAGTGCAAGGGCGAAATAGTGCAAGGGCGAAATAGCAGCGCAAGGACGAAATAGTACATGACAAAATAGCGCAAACAGCACAGGACAAAATAGCGCAAGTGCAAAATAGCTCAAAACAATATAGCGCAAAGACAAAATAGCGCAAGGACGAAATAGCGCAGAACAAAATAGCTCGTACCGAACATGTTTTTTAAATAAAGAAATTCATAGAAATAATGCGTAACAAATACTGTTCCTACGACGCCTATGTGGAGATTGTTTGAAGTTTCTCTCGCATTTTAGGATCTGATCCATTTTAGTACGAAACAATTTCGTGCGAGACAAATCCTATTTATAATTAATGTACCTAACCTGTGGGACCTGGAGCCAGGGTGAGTTGCTATAATACAGCACAAGTTAGGTAAATTAGTTATGATTTATTTTATGTAATTTTTTTTCTCAAAGCAACCTGCGATGGCTTCATGCTGCCCAGGTTAGGTAAATTAGTTTTTTTTTTAATTTTAATTAGAACCCGGAATATTTTAACACGCGTTTTTACGTCCTACGCTATTTTGATTTGCGCTATTTTGTCCTACCGCTTTTTTGTCCTTGTGCTATTTTGGCTTGCACTATTTGATCTTGCGTTACTTTGTCCTTGCGTCATTTGGATTTTTTGATCAGGACTTTATCTTAATAAAGACATATGAAAACACAAATATCCTATTAGCTTTTTTTCATTTGAATTTTTTTCCAAAAATGGTAGACAAATTCGAAAAATTGCTGTTTGCAGTTGCATTTTTGTAGTTAATAAATTTTTTTAAACTAATTAAACTACGAATGCGTTAACATTTGTCTGGAAGTTGGCATGAGAAAATTATTTTCGATATATTTTGAAAACAGAGGGAGGGCAAAAAAGTTATTTCGTGGGAAATAATGAGCAAATGATTGACAATTCTATCACAAAATTTCGCTATGTTGTGCCAAGTTAACGAACCTATAGTGAAAAATATCTTCTCCCTATTACTATCTGTGATTCCCGAGAAATATTTTAATGTTCACCTCGTATATAAAAATCACAATATTAATAATATTTTTACTAAATTAGAAATTTTGTTTCAGGCTTGGCCCGTGCGATCTGCAAGACCCGGTTTGGGGTAAGATGAGCGCGTTGACAGCCGGTGTCAATAAGAAAAGGAAAAAATCGGAGACCAAACCTCAGGCGCAAATGTAAGTACCTATCACCCTACATTCACATTGAGTTTAAACACAACGATCTATAAAAATCTGTCAGTCTTCAGTACGGTTTAGTGACTCTCTATTTCTATCTGATGAGGTCCAAAATGCAAAACCGGTCTTAGTTTATTAAAATGTCGATAACGTCGAATGTCTACACATAGGGCAAATACTTTATTAGAAGTTACTCTTGCAATGTTAGGTTGCTAATTGTTATGACGTTCAAATATAATATATAGACATTATTGGACGTTGGATTCAGCAACAATGGGCTCATCCACAATTTGCTTCAACATAGTTTTTCATGTAAAATAACTATTTCCTTTTCCTTCCTGATTTCTATTTGTTCTAATTTCAGTATGGCAGACGATACTGTCGATACAGCAAACTAACCGACATAATAGGAATCACCTTGTACAAATTTAATCTTCTTACTGATAAGCTTTCTAGCTTGCATCTACAAAGTAATCCTTCCTGCGGTGCACTGCATAAAATAAAAAGTGCAAACGCTAAGGAGATTTTAACTCGAAATATGCCGTACCTACATATTCAGCAAAGACGAACACAATGCATCCTAGACTGACATCATAGATATTGTGTGCCGTTAAAGTACACACTCGGTGAGCTGGAGATCTTGACTTTTCTCAGAACCCATTGTCGATGTAAACCGAACTTTGGTTGTTGGAATAGTAGCGAAGGTTCACGAAGAAAAGTCAAATTTCAAATATAGTCCAGTACAATTAGTCAAAATCCTGTATTTTATTGTAGGAAATTAGAAATAAATTATCCACTATGGTGGTACAAAAATTAAAAAGAATTTAAAAATGAAATGTTACAAAAAATCTTTATGATTATTAATGAGGATAGGATATATTTGGCCCCGTTCTAAAGGTAACCACATTTTCCTGGTGGTAACCATCCAAGTATGGTGAACATCGTAAAGTTCCTAATCCAAAAGAGACCAGCTGGAACAATGTGAGATAGAAGTATTAGATTGAGACTTTAGCCAATGGTTTAGGGTTGGAATTAATCACTCAAGCATTATTATTAAAAAGAGAGCTAGACTCCTCGGACCATCAATAAAGATCCAGCACCATAATCATTGTTCTTACCTTCTGAAATTTATTTCGCCACCAAAACCTGCGAACTATATTAAAAAAAAAATCCTTGCCTTTTTATTAATTTTGTTTACCGCTACCACTATCATCTACGAGGCCCTGCTGTATCTTTGTGGTCTTTAAATGTCTGCATCAGCCAAAAAGAGAACGGAGAGATAAGAGAAAATGAGAGGATTTGTTACAAGAAAACCTTTATATCGAACATTCTTTCGAAGGTGTAATGCGATCCTCTTTGCTAGGATTTCGTTGCACTCATTATTTTTTTTTTTTATTTTATTTACCGTTTGTAGAATGGAACCTTTATTGCGTTTCAGCTTATTTAATTAAACGAACAGTGAAATACGAATGACAGTCGTAAAATTTGCTTGATAAATGTGGGAATGTAGGAATTCTAATTCAGCTCTTTTATGTTATCTTGGAACAACTGGTGAGAAAATACAAGTCTGACTTATCTGCAAAAGAAAAGGTTTATTATAGTAAAAAACATGGAAACATGATTAAATCATAGCGAAAACATTAAAATTTTCATTTTAACTACAAGTAAGCATTGAAGGATGAGGTATAAAAACCTGTACTACGTTCTGAAAATTAAATTACTGCACTACTTACTTCTCCAGACTATAGTCTACAACTTGTTTGGTCCACACCGTGTTCGACGTGCCCTGCCAATTTACTCACTGGTATTCAATATTGGTAAATTGAAAGCAAATACATAATGTATCATATTATCGTGGTTACTCGTAATCCACACCCGTGGACAATTGATTCATAATCCACACCCGTGTAAATAGAATTCATAATCTACGCCCGTGGATAACGAACTCATAATCAACAACCTACTGCATTGCCGTTACATATTTATAATAAAATCCACAAATATACATGATAGACAAAATTTATCATGCCTTTTTTCATACACCTCGTATCATATTATAGTTATCGAATCGAATTTTAAAGTAATGTTGCCAGACGTTAGTAGATCGATATGCCTACCTGAATGTAAAAACCATTAAACCAACCGTATCGCATAATGCAAACGTTAGCTCCTCCAAAAGTGTATTTATCTTTTCATATTTGATATTATTATAATAATAACAAGGCCGATTCACGAAATATTATTAAGGTGCAATGGCACGCGATATTCTAACAAAAAATGATGACTTAATCGTATAAAAAATAAGCAAAAATTATACACCAGAACATTAAAATGACTAGGCAGAATTGACTAATTCTTTTATTGAAAATAAACTATATTATGTTCTTTTTTTTCATTGATTACCTGATCGATTATTTAAAAGAGCTGATATTGTTAGTTCCAAAAGAATATTATACCTTTCTAAAACAATGAACGAACTGACCGCATTGAAATGTTGACCAAGCCATGTAGGCTGGCATTGCTAGTATTGCTGCTTTCCTGCTTGACCGAGTGCTGTCTCTTTATAGTTTTCACACGCATTGTGTCAGGGGATATTGGAAGATGTTCGATGACCAATACTATATATTCTGTCATTGTGAACACCCAATATTATGGCGACGAGCCGTCACTGCACGGAATCTCTGCACAGAGTAGGGTATATTTTTATTAAAACAGTTTTTCCAAATAGAGTCCCAGTCTACATTGGTTACTTTAGATTCAGTTTTAGGACTATGACTAACTTAAAAATTGGACCTAATATGATATTACAGTCGACAGCCAAGGTACCAACTTCCTAGAATTTTACCTTAAGTCAACTTATGTTGTTATGACCGCCAAATTTCATGGTTTTAAAATACGTACAAAACAACATAAGTATATAATAACAATTTTCAATAATTATGTCAAATAGAACAATGCGTGAGCATCAACAACTTGATTCCACTATAGCACTCAAGGCGACCCATCATTTCGTTAACATAAACAATGAATAAAAGGGGGCCCAGGACAGAACCTTGTGGAACCCTTTGCCTTACAGCCTGAAATTCAGACAGAACATCATTAGCCATCACAGCTTTTTGTCTGTTACTGATATATGAATTTATTAGTGCAAGCGGAATTTCCCTAACTCTATAAAAGCTTAGCTTTTCCAGAAGAATATCATGAGAGACGCAGTCGAAAGCCTTTGACAGATCGCACAACATTACTGCTGTGTGATTTCCCTGCTCAAGTTCCTCAACTACATCATTCAGAACATTGAGAACAGCCTGTGTAGTAGAGCGAGAGCGTCTGAAACCATATTGGGAGTTGCTGAAGAAGTTGTTTAATTCAAAATACTCACATAATTTTTTTAATAACTTTACCAAATATTGAAACAATACTTATGGGACGATAGTTATCAATTTTCGAGACATCACCTTTTTTGAAAATTGGTATAAAATATTTAAGTATTTCAGGAAATATACCAGTGGATAAAATTAAATTAATCATTTCAGTAAACGGTTTCATTATAATATTGCAAGTCTCTTTTAAAATTTTACTATTGAGTTCGTGAGTGTCAACACATTTAGAATTTTTTAGAGATTTGCGTCAAAAATTCAGACTCAAGAACAGGGCGGAAGAAAAATGAGCTACAGGGCATAGGAAAATGTTTGAAACTCAGAAGTTCGGCATTCGAAACATTAGGAAGAGATCTTATGATATTTGCAGCAGTTGTATTAAAAAATGTATTTATTTCATTTGGTGTTAAATCAGGAGTTACTAGATTTCTTTTTAAATTGTCTCTTTCGAAATTGATTATTTGCCAACATGCCTTGGCTTTATTGTCTGCTCGAGTAATATATTCATCATAGGCCTGTTTTTTTGTTGATTTCAATTTTTCATTGTACTCGCTGTTGAGTTTCTTGTATGTTTTTATGTCATTTGGATCTTTTGTAACGTCTGTTATTAGTTTAAAGGTTGAGAGATCGTTTCTCTCAGAGATTTTACACTGTTGTTAAACCATATTACTGGTGAATTTCTTAAATTATTCTAACATTGTCTCAAGGGAAAATATTTCATACTTAAGTTATGGTAAGTATTGATAAGAAAAGTTGACAAAAAAATTACATCATTACCTTTATTACAAAAAATACTCCAATCTATACTACTTAGAGACTGTTTGAACATCTTTATTCTATTATCTGTAATACACCTTTTAAGACATGTTTGATTTTTATTTTTTGTTAGACTATTATTGTAACTCACAGAAATGTATTGGGCACGGTGGTGTGAAAAGGAGGGTTCAGATACACCGGAAGTAAACAATTCGTTTGCCAAATTTGTAATTATGTTGTCTATACAATTTGAAGATGAAGCTGTAACTCTAGTATCATCATGTATTGTAAGAGATAAACCAAAAGACTTCAACAAACATTCAAAATTGAATTTCAGATTGTGATTTAAAATTAATATTAAAATCGCCTAATATTATTAATTTGTCATACTTTTCTAGTAATTTGTGTAATACAAGTTCAAAATTCACAAGAAAAATATCAGTAGTTCCTTTGCCAGACCTATAGACAGTTAAAATTGTAGTTTTTAAAGATGGCAGATCTACAGCAGAGAATTCTGCATTTTGTTCACTAATATATTCGCTTAAGTCAATTGGAAAATATTTCAAAAAATCTTTATTATTTTTTATGTAAATTGCTACACCCCCATGTATCATATTTGTTATACAAAAAGAGTTTGCCAAATTGTAACCGTCAATATCAATGTATTTAAGACATGTTTCACTTTGCCAATGTTCAGAAAAGCAGACAACGTCAAAATTGTGATCCACAAGAAAACTGTTAATCATTTCTACCTTATTACAGATGGATTGTAAGTTTATATGAAACATACTCACCGTACTCTGCTGATTTACATTTTTTTAAAATACTAAAATCTTTTAAAATATTGGAATCGTATTTCATATTTAATTCTCTTCTTCCGTTTTTTGAAGAGGCTGAAAATTTTTTCTGAAGTTAAATCTTCTTACAGCAGCTTCCTTGGGCCATATAATTGGGTTATAAATCATCAATTTTGTCCGGGATGGGAATGTTACCCTGTAGGTGGAAGAATGTTCATTTCTTCTTCACTCTAAACAGGTGAAAGATATGTTAGGCGCTGTCTTTTTTAGTAAGTTAAAAATATCTTCGCAAGTCATGTCGGTTCCAATGCGAGAGACATGTACGTGTCCTTGTCGTGGTATGGTATTAAAATTTGCCACTTCATTGCAACCTATGATCGGTTTATTTTTATATGGCACGTTTTTATAAAATGGGAGATTCAGACTGGAGTTCCCATTTTTTGTATAAGATGTTCTGCTCGAAACAGAAAGTCCCATATACATATATTAAATTGACCAAGCTGTATATCATTAGATTAGCTGATTCGATTATTATCAGATTGCTGAAGGTCTTGAAGACTCAGAGATGATTATTTTGGCATATTGTTTGGCAAAAGTGCATACGTTTGATTTTTAATATTTAATCTTTAAAAAAGAAAATTGTGCGTCTGAATTTATTCATTCAATCGCCAAATAAAATTTCATTAAATGTTGTGTGTAGTACCAATGCCTGCCATCGACGTCATCTATGACATACATTTAATTTTATATTGAATTACTATTTTTTTTAATTCCGTATTTAGCGATAACCGTTATTAGGACGAGTTAGATTAAAACAAAAAAATATGAATAGTAATTAATAATTATTATCATCGAACCTTAGCAAATTTTTAAATAATTATATATCGCGAATTGCGACACATTTCGAACCTAGTAACACGATAGTTTACATTCGTCGCAACTAGAAAAGAAAAACACATTCGCAAACGTGCCGATTCTGCATTTTTACCATACTGGCTACTTTTCAACTGTCACATATGCAATAAAAAATTTAAAAAACCGTCAGTAGTTTTTTCGCCAGCCGACAAGAAGATCGAAATCGGAACGCGTGATATTTTTCAAATTTTCTACGTTTCCAAAGTGTTTTTGTTGTGAGTGTGTTATATATACATGTTTGAATTCGGGTTTGGATCATGACTCTACACCAAAATATGTCAGTATTTATTGCAGTTGTTTTTTTTTACTTTTTAAATGTGTTGCATTTCGTTTTGGTATTTTTCAAAGTGATTTTAATGGAAAATATTTATTTTCCGTCGAGTTTCTATTTTGAGGATTTATTAATGTATAATATAAATGACAAAATCCATGCTGATTTCCTGTTATAATGTTGTACTTTTTCAAGAAAGACAGAAGGCATATCCAAATATTTAAATAAATCACATGTCTATAGTTTTCTGTTTGTCTACGATCATTTTTCTTTTTAAAGCTTGAGGAAAATTACCCATCTCAAATGATAAGTTTACCAAATAATATGTTAAAAGGTTCGGAGAGAACATCTAATACTTGTTTTAGTACAAAACATGGTACGTCATCGGCTTCAAAAGATCTTTTGTTTTTAATTTTCCTATGTAATAAATTTAATAATTCTATGTGAGAAAATGGAGTGAGGAAAAAAGAATCTTTATTTGATGTGATTCCTTCGATGTTACTAGTAACTTTCATATACATATTATGTGTAAAAATCCACAAACTGAACCTATACTCGGTTTCCATCGCACTTCTTTTATTGCAAGTTTGATATCAAGAATAATAAATGTGCTGCCTTGCGGTATTATAGTTATTTATGACGATCTATTTCACTTTATTCTCTAGGAATAATGTACCAATGAGATAAGACATAATTCAGTCATCATTTTTATATTTTACGTGATTCTTCGTAAATATTCTCAAGTACAAATTACAGTTCAACATTCTTTGTTCCGCGTCATCCAATAATTGAAATCAACATGTTCAGTATACCGAATTCTTTACATTTTTTACCTGAAAATTCACACGCCGAAATAATTTGGATTCCCAAATTCAATTTAAATTATAATTTGTGTTTTTGAATGCGACTTTTATGTTTGTTCATAAATAAAAGTTTCGATAATGGTTTTCCGAGAAATCTGATATATTTTTTTTTAATATAGTCATCAAATTAAGCTGCAGTCAGTTGTTATTAAAAAAACTGATTTATGCCTATTTGGATTTTTTCTTTTTTTTTTCTTTAATAATTTGTAATAAACAAATTATTACTATAACCTGTTTGATTTTGGTCAAATTTGTTTATTTTTAATTTAATTCAATGAGCTATAATGCTGGCTATAACTCTTGAGGAGACAAGGGAAAAGACCCAAGAATCGTACAATAATGAAAATTCCTGATCTGACAAATTTATTATTCCGTGTCGATTGTGATTCTACTATAGTCAAAATTATTGTTACTCTCTTAGAATCAAAGAATGATAACAACTTGACCCCTGGAATTTTCGTACCTCCATCTCAGGCTACCCGTGACCTTTTTGAAAGTTGTAGAGCTGATCACATTAATAAAACTGGCGTCCGATTATTGAACCCGCAAATATTAATCTATTACTCAAAATAAATAATTTTATAACTAGTATAAACGGTCAGATAAAATATTTATCGACACTCGTTTCGATAACTTTTTTATCATCTTCAACAGGAATACTAAACTCGACTTTTTTTATTACAGTAACAAATGCAACAATGAGAAACGTCGCCGAGAACAGGAGAACATCTACATAGAGGAATTGGCCGAGCTGATATCCGCCAATTTCGCGGACATGAGCTCGCTGTCGGTCAAACCGGATAAGTGCGCGATTCTTCAAGAGGCCGTTAACCAGATCAGGAGCATCAAGCAGCAGGAAAGCGCCACCCAATCGACGGACCCCGTCCAGCAGGGGGAGGTCTCGTCTTCTAGGCCAACGATACTCTCCAACGACGTCTACGGGCCGCTGCTCCTAGAAGCGTTGGAGGGGTTTCTCTTTGTAGTTAACAGTGAGGGAAAGGTTTGTATCAGTATTATATCTCTATATCATCTTCTAACTCTTCCTCTCATTTTCATTCTTCATCCAACTTATTCTTCATCAATTTTTACTTTCCTTTTTTTCCTTATACCTCTTCTCCTCCTTTTGGTTCTTTTTCGGACCCCTTCTTCTTCCTTTTTCTCATGTTATGTTATCTATTGGGTGTTTATAAACTGTGGCCCAGAAGATATATTGACGTCTATCTACCCAAGGACGTGTATAATTTGAAGAGGCTTTAAGCTGGACAATCTGCCCTCCTCTTCTATTTGGTATGCTTCCAGGTATACCCTTTGTATCTGTAGAGCTGCACATTCAGTTAGAATGTGAATGGAGGGTTCGTTTTATTGCTCGCCAAATATGTGCTCACTATCTTCTATCAGTCCACGTTTACTAAGGTGTTTTTTGAGTCGATAATGTCTGGTAAAGATCCCCGTTACTCAGATAGATACGGGTCAATTTTCTCTGGATAAAGTCACCCAGAATTATCTTATTTTATCCAATTCTTTTTTAATCCCGCCTAATATTGTGTTACTGTCTGCAATCTCGTTGCCCGTTACCCGTGTCCCTAGACTCAAGTGAGCGTAACTGTATATTTCTCGCCTAGCTCATTCATTTTCTTAGGTAAGTCCAGATCATTTTTGAGCTGATTACATAAGAGCTCTGCGCATTGATGACTGCTTGGTTATCAGGCAAGATGATAATATCTCGTCTGCAATAGTTTTTATGGGATGGATGCATTTCTTAATGGCGTGAACATACCCAAACTTTTAAAGTACACTTTCATACTATTCCAGTTCCTTCTATGGTTTTGAAACTATCCCTATACCATTGCATGCTTTTTAGTGACAAACAGGATTGATTCTTGGTCCCATTATTTTTGTATCCCAGCTTATCCTTCTCTTTTCCTCGTTCTTATCACCTTCATATTCTGCGCCTTTGTAGGCGTAAGGTTATTTGAAACGAGCTACTCTTTGCAGGTCGAACATGTCACTGACAACGTCTCCACTTATATAAAATTCACGAAGGAAGACGTGCTTGGCAAAAGCATTTACAACTTCATCCACCATGGGGACCACGCGAAATTCCACTCCAATCTCCTCCCCATGACCATAGAGTGGGGCAACGAGCAACAAGTCAACAATAAGTCAAAATCAATAGACATTAGGTTGTTGGTGAAACCTCCCGATGACCTAGACGAAACCATCGAGGAGAAGCAACAGAGGATCAGCAGTTACGAGTTGATGCATATATCGAGCACGCAGCTTCGCGATCATCTTTCGGTTTCCGAGGAAGACGGCAGTGATAGTGGGCCTTGCCTGTTGTGCGTCGCGTCCAGGATATCGCACAGGGACAAAAACACGTCCAGCATAGAACAGTTTACTACGAAATTGGACACTGCGGGAAAGGTCATTTGCGTGGATACTTCGGGTTTGCCGGATACCGTGGCGCAATATATTAGAAAGGAACTCAAGAACCGGGCTTTAAGGGAATTGGTGCCGCAGCAGGAAGTGCATAAGGTATCCGCACATTTGCGGGAGACCATCAATTCGGGACAGTCGTCGAGCACGATATACAGGCTTCAAATCGGGCCGGATAAGTTGGTGCAAGTTCAAACTAAATCAAAATTGTTCAAGACCAATCCGCATTCTAATTCCGATTCGGATTTTATCATGGCCACACACTCCATCATTGGGTAAGTACTTATTTTTGAAAATTCCAATCTATCATGTTTTACATAATGTTTGTTTAGTGAAAATAAACGTTAATTATTGGTCTAAAATGTTTTCAAAAGACTGTTATACATAAAAACATCGTTTTCGTTACTCCATGTGAAATACAGATGAAATACTTGCATTTTTCTGGCAGTTCTGCAACTCTACACTGACGGTAACCTTGATAGAAGGAAACGACAATATTGGAAAACGCGTTTGCGCAAAACAAGACGCATCTCTGTGACAATTTATGCACTGTAGCAAAGGAAGTATCATCCCTTCTTAAAAATGTGTTGCTGCTACTTAATTTTGAAGAACTCTCAATTAAATTGAAATCCTCATATCTCTGGTCACCATATTCCATTTTAAAAACACATATTAAACATAAAACTATAATACCAAAAATTACAAGCCGAAGACTATAGCTGAAAAAAATATTGAAGAAGTAGGTACTATTATAAAAATAAAAAATAAAACTATTCAAGTAGTGCTTCTTAATCGTAGAAAAAATAGTGTATTCAACTCTTATGTAATGTTTATTAATACATGATCGTTGTATAATATACCGCCAATTTAACACTTTCACTTTTATTGTAATTTACTCGGGTTCTGAGGCTTGTTTCATATGAGTCTAAAGTTTTTATTTTTTGAGCCATGTTTCGGGCAGAAAATGAATTTCCACTGAAAAAATTTTTAAATATTCATCACCCCTACAATAAAAATCTCGGAAAAACTCGAAAATGTGTTTCAGTCATATGGAAGTTAGTAACAGTTCCAAATTATTTCTCGGTCATATTGACCGAGACGGCAGTTAACGTGTTAAAGTTACGCCACTGATGCGACTATCAATTTTGTATACATATACATGTAGTTGGTGTGTGATTAAAAATGTTACATTGATATCTTGGTGTTAAGATAGATTTTGATTCTTCAAAAGTGTAATGTTTCAGATTAGCACGGCTTTTTTTTTGTCTAATAATCTAATATTTATAATTTATGTAATTGGGTATTTTGTAATTATTACGAACGTATACCGTTTTGTCTGAGATAACAATTGATTACTACATTTTATTATATTTGTACCAAGCTGATAGGCAAGTCAAAATCCTATATTATACAATGGAGCCCATTTTAAATGGAAGCACCTCTGTAAAATGCATATTTTTCAAGTGATTTAAAAAGTTATTTTTTATTATATACCGGGTGTTCATTTTAAAGTGTTACAGTCAAATACCGCCGAAAATATGCATTTTAGAAAAAAAAGTTTCAGACAAAAGTTTTATAGTTTTTTGGGGGAAATATTTTGGCTAAATTCATTTTTTTGTAGTTGGCCATAATATGGCTATATCGAGGTGGACTTGGTTTTTTTAAATGGGAATCCCATTTTTTTCTTACATATTCTTAAAGTACATAAAAAAATAAGAAACTTTTGAGGGAAATATTTTTTTTATTGGACTTTTACTTTTTGAGAAACAGCTACTTAAAAATTTTGCTGCGCGAAAAAAAGTTGGCCATATTATGGTTAGCTATAAAAAACGATTTTAGCCAAAAGTTTTTCCCCACAAAACTATAAAACTTTTGTCTGAAACGTTTTTTTTTTTTTATAAAAAGCGGTATATAGCTGTAACGCTTTAAGTTGAACCCGGTATATAGAGCATCAAAAATAATACCTGCATATATCAAATTCATTCTTAATAAACTATGATTTTTTTTCTATGAGAATTTTTTTAGAATTGACTACTTAACTGGATTTAGAAACATTTTAAATAGAAAAATCTAAAATTTAATTAAAAATGTTCAATAACAATAATAAATTTGGAAATGCATATTTGAGTATGTTTTACGTAGATATTAAAGAAATGGCAACACTGTCCATAAAGATTGGAACACTATCTAAGATATCTAGTGAAAATTAAAAATAAATAATTATTCTTTTAATTCTCGAGTTATAACTTTTTAAAATTCTGCATTTCAAAAGGTTAGGTTAGAAGAAAGTTAGGTAAGAAAAAAAGTTCGTTCCAAATACTTCGCGCCCGCCCTCCACAAAAAAAAACCCTCAAAGGCCAAAGCGATCAAAGACACAAAATCATGTTATGACGGCCGCAGTGCTAGCGGCGATAAGAAAACAGACAAAAAAATGTGATTCATTAGTTAAAATTGTGGCACGTAAATATCGCAAAGTATTTGGAAAAGACTTACAAGTAAGTCGTTTGTTCCATTTATTCCCAGTAACCAATTTAGCCGAGTTTGAGAGTGTATAATTCGAATAAAGAAAATCCGAAGATGCATTAAAACTTTAAGTTGTAAACAAGTTAAATAAAAAATAAATTACTAATCGCCAATTTAGAACTGACGTAAGCATATTTTTAATGTCAATGGACTTGATTATTTTCAATGCTATACGAAATGATACGTTTGAATAAATAATTGCGGATTTAAATGTCCTTGCCAAAAATGTTGTTGGAACTTTTCTATAGATGTAAATATTTTTGTAGTTTCTAGTTTAAAATGGATTTTCTAAATACATAAAAAATGGTTTTTGTCATAGTGATATTCAATATTTCATAAACATTTAATAGTTGTTAGATTATTTATTTGCCATTGGGGAAAAGTGACGAAGCAAATATTTTTACCACACTTTCGAAATCAATTTTTATATCCATTGACAGAGCGCGATTATCTTTTCGTATTATATGTATTTATAGAATCCGAGCATGAAATGAATACTACTATTATTTTAAAGTGTTAGTTTCGTAGTGCGACTTTGATTGACGCTATAAATAATCGATTATTTTTCAAAAACTATCCGACCTTCAAACAACATTCTTCAAGCACTCCAATGTTTACTATCAATATAACTTGTGTGTCTAGAATCATTATGTACATACATACTTTTTCTGCATCTTACAGAAATATAAATATAACTAGCCTGATATTTAATTTAAACCAACCCAAACGTGGTCGGTCTTAAATAGTAAGCAACCCTCTAAAATGGTTATGGCTTGTGTGTCGCACACCTTTTGGTGATTTAAGTTCTGTTAAGACCTGTTGAAATTAACATCTGGCTTAGTACAAGAACCATCTGGTTAACTCATGTGGGCCTGTCTTAATTCGCTAAGTGTAAATGATTTTAGAAACACCAATAAATCTTCTATACGTCAACCATGCAATCATAGAGTTACAGGGAGAGCTACTAAAATCAACACTCTATTGATATTCTTTGCAGCGAAAACGTTCTTTAAATTATGAAAAGGATATTTTTGACGATTGTAAAAATTTCTAATTTTGAATCGGTGGAATAATAATTTTGAACCGATAATTTTTATTTTTTTAGACCCACGCTGAGATCAACTGTTCGACCTTTAAGACCAAACTTTTATTACAGCATTTTTTTTTAAATTGGTTTTTTTTTTATCTACTTCTGTTTTCTTTTTAGTTTTCGATTATATATTTTTTGTATATCGTCGCTCTAATAAGAAAAGTGCCTAAGTCCACTTTTTTGCGAAAATGGGATTTAGATACCATCTATTAGAATAACGGTTAAGCCACCTTCTGACAAAGCTTTAGACTCTTTAATTTTAAATTGAAATAATAGAAATTTACCGATTAACGATTTGACAATTGCTAAAAAGAAATTTGCCTAGCTCCACACTTTTGTTTAAAATAGAAACGCGTGGGAATTATTTTTTTGTGTTGCATTCAAAGTTATATGTCTCAGATGTGAAGAAAAACAGTAATAATGTAATAATGTATTTGTTAAAAAATAACGTTTTTCTTCGCTCCTGTAAAATTTTTCAAAACTGTGATAGCCATTTTTTTATTAGGCCGACGATATTTCAGTTTTTTTATATATTAATTACATAGTAGGACCGATTATCCACCCATTTTTTTTTATCTCGAAATAGTTGCGTACGCAGAATCTTGTCACTGGTTATTGTTAACTCTGCTCTGCCAAGACAAACTCTACCTTGACGCCATCGCCGTTTTCTATAGTCTATTTTTATGTATGAGAGAGTAATAATAATAATAATAATAATTTCTAATGCAAAACTTAGTACGGTCATTTTAAATATTTTTACAGAATAATCTAAATATTTCCTAAATTTGTAATAAATGTACCTGAGCTATTACAAGTTTTGGGTCTTTTATTGGTCCTTTATAAACATAAGCTGTACAGAACAATAGAAAAAGGTTTGGACAGGCCAAAAGCCCTGTGTATTAAAAATTACATAGCCGTATCTTAAGATTATTTTCAATAAGTACCTATTTGCCAATTTTGTTTTACTTTAATTCCAAGAATTTCTTACAGTAATCGAATTATAAGTAGATAAATACCTTCCCAACAAATTTCACCGAAAATGCGATTATAGGTTTTCCATTTAGTAAGGAGGTCCAAGTTGTGTATTCTTGACAGTTTACTAAATGTCGTTTAGTTGCAACTTGCAAGGTGCAGTGTGAATTCAAGTGTGATCATGGAAAATTTGGAAGGGCCGCGTAAACGACAAAAAATCGGTCCTTTAACAGTTAATGAAAAAACATTAATATTTAATTGTTTTAAATCATTTACAGACAAACATTTACGTAAAAGTGTTGATGACACAGTGGAATTATTTAGTAGTACGCTTGGTGTTGGGAAATTTACGATTTACAGAGTTGTTAAAGAAGAGAAATGTGGCGAGTTTCAAACAGCACGTAAAGCTCCAGGAAAACCAATATTTCAATTAGAAAATCTTTTGAAAGAAAGACTTCGAAGGAAAGTGCATGCGTTCTTCTTTAGAAAAGAATTTCCGACAGTAGACAAAGTTCTTGCCACGGTTCGAGATGATAAGGATTTCCCTGAAATGAGTTGAAGCACACTATGGAAACTTTTAAAAGAAATAGGTTTTCTATGGAAAAAGCATTCCAGAAAGTCTATTTTAATAGAAAGAAGCAATATTGTCGTATGGAGAAGAAATTACCTAAGAACTATAAAAGAAATGAG